ACGTAAATTTAATTTGCATTATATCGCTGGATTTGATAAAGTTTTAATCAGATGATTTTTTATTTTTATATTATTATTGTTGTACAAAATTACAAACGTAGTCAAATGATGAATTTTTATTTATGGAACAATAATTCCACACACATGTTAGGTCATTCACTCCAAAATATGCACTCAACTTCCAAAAAAATGCAGATAAAAAAATCAATACATCTAATCTTGGTATTTGTAGAAAAATTCTTTGCAAAGAGACACTTGTCTCCAATAAATTTTCAATTTAATTGATCACAACAGACAATTTTGTTTTGACAAAGCTGCGTACAAAAACTATTAGTGTTAGGAAATTTATAATATAAATACCGAGACGATTGTGAATTGGTTTTCCTTTTGTTAAAGAATAAAACAAGATAATTTTTCTTTAACCACCAAATTGTTGAATTGATTAAATGAAAATTAAGTGCAAATTCTAAATCCTTATTTTTCAACTACAAATTTTAAGACTTTCTGTTTTAACAATTTTCTTATAAATAATCAATTCCTTTTAAAAACTTAAGCTAGAAAACGATAATCGTTTGACTGGCATATATTCATGTTTTTTACACAACTACAGTAGTTAATCTTCTGATTAGTATATACTTACTCGTATAATTAGCCAATATTTAGCTAGCATAGATTTAATTGTTTAATTTGATACTGAACAACCCTTTCTTTTATAAAATAAGTTTTTATAAAGAAGAAAATAGCAATCATGTATAGAATCAGGTATATATACTATTATTTATCATTAAAAGTTTTTAATTTCTCGATTTTATTTAATCCTGATAAAATTCTATTAGCGACGCAAACCAATATTTGATAAAGACCGGTGCCTTTATTAATGATATCAAGATCTCTAAAAAAGGATGGATTCTACCAGGTCAACGTTCTCAATTCTTTGATATCACACCTGTAAACTATACGCTTCAATTACAAGCTATGACAGCTGAAAAACTTGAATTCAATTTACCTGCTGTATTCACCATTGGACCAAAGGATGACGCAGTATCTTTAGAAAAATATGCTAAATTATTATCATCAAAAGATAAAAATTCAGAACATGTTAAGGACTTGGTTAGAGGTATTATTGAAGGTGAAACTAGAGCTATTGCTGCAGCTATGACTATGGAAGAAATTTTTCAGGAGAGAAAAGGTTTTAAAGATAAAGTTATTAAGAACGTTCAGGCTGAGTTGGAACAGGTAAACTATATTGAAAAGTCTACTTTATATTTATAAATTCAAATTTACTAATTATTATTATTTTTTTTTATACAAATAGTTTGGTTTATTTATTTATAATGCGAATGTGAAGCAACTTGTAAGGATTTTTCTACAAATACCTAGATTAGATGAGTGGGATTTTTTTTTATCTGCATTTTTTTGGAAGTTGAGTGCATATTTTGGAAGTGAATGCCCTTAACATGTGTGTGGGAATTATTGTTCCATAAATAAAAATTCATCATTTGATTACGTTTGTAATTTCCTCGAAAATCACCTTTTGACGTATATATTTAAATCAGTCGTGAATGAAACAAATACAAATTTTTTAATATTGTACAGCCAATAATAATATAATTCTGTTACCATCATGACATTCGGTAACATGACTTTTCTAAAAATATAAAATCATCTGATTAATATTTATCAAATCTAGTGATAAAATGCAAATTAAATTTACGTTAAAATGCGAAATGACATAAGCTCGAACATTCTATTGTGATGCATCTAAGTATTGCAAAATTTTAACAAAATTTAACGAAAAAAAAAAGCATGGGTAGCTAGTGCATGGCAAAATCAAACAAAAACTTGATCTTCGAGTTCAATTTACGGTAAATACAAATTTTATTTTTAGTAAATATATGAATTTAACAGGCATCCGATCTTACTTTAGACTTCGTGGTAACTTATCATGAAAGTTAGAGTCAGATTAGAGTAAAAATAGATTTTGTAATTAAAATATAATACTGTAAATTGATAGATTCAAAAACTTGAAAACCAAGTTTTTGTTTGATTTTGCCGAGGCTTTGCGAGCACATTTTTATTTAATATCCTTTTATAGAAAATCCGAAACTAAGCGTGATCATAGACGTTTTTCGTGAGTAATACAAACCCTTAAAAGGGAATGGCCAATCAGAGCACAGATATTGACTATTCCGGATAATATGTGCCGATTCGATTCCGAATCAGTTATTGTATGGGTTGTAAAATATAACTAAATTTGCATGGGTTAAGTTACATGGCCGAAGGTCATGTAACCCCGTGCAAATTTAGTTATTTTATAACCCATAAATATAATATTGAAATATTATCATATCGATATATTTATGAGTGTCGCCAAGAAAATGTATATTTTAAATTTAAAGAACATTGTATAAAATCCACCTAGCATTACCACCCAAATCAGTTACGTAATAGTAATTTGAAAATTAAATCGGAGTTATTTTATTTGATACTATTCGAATTAAAAGATCGAAATTTAAAAGACAAGATTTTATAAATAAAAATTTGAAATTAAGATTTATATAAATAAAAATTCTAATGAAATTATAAATTACTGTTCGAATCATTATAATTTAAACTATGGTTCATATTTCGCAATTATTTTAATTTATTGCCAATAAAAAGTGTTCTTATTACTTCCACCCAATCATTTTTGAAACGTTACAAAGTTTTATTCAGTATTCAGAAGTTCACGAGACTTATCAAGTAAAAGGCCTATATAAAAATATAAATATATTTACGTAAAATAAGCCAGCCGATGATTATTTCTAGATTCATTTGTCTGTTATTTTCATTTTCAACCTCAGTAGGTTTTTATAAACTATACTTTCAAACTCTTCCGGCTCTACAATATTTTTGTGATTCTTGTTAAATTATCTATTGTTTGCTTTTATGTTTTCTTTTTTTTCTTTATTTAGATGCTCTCGAAAACATCAACTACTTTTGTTGTGCATAGGATGGACAATATTAGGCATTAATTTCCATTTTAGATTTGCCAATGAAAATGTCATTAAAAAATAATAATTAGTCACATTGCATTAACTATAATAAAATCAGGACTTCAAAATTATCTTTATAGCACATGTTATCAAAAAGAATTCAGGCTTTGATTGGCAGTTAGATTACTTATTATATACTTATATATCCGTTACATATAAAGTTCTATATACGTACGTACATCTTTGGCAGTTCATATCGATATATGATATATACACAAATTTAATAATATAGCTTGTTAATTCTTATTTATGAGAAGCGATATAGTAAATTTATTTAAAAATTACTTAGTAAGCTATTTTTAAAAAACAATCTCTAAGAAAAGAACGTGAAACACTACCGTAAAAGTTCATATAAAAGATCCCCCCAAATAGTAGACTCACCACGAATTAGATCCGGGTGCGAACCACAGGATCTTTATTAATTAAATGCGGTTTTTTTTTTTTAAATAGTTAGAAGCCTATTATAAATACAAAATATGTATGCACTTTAAATATTTTTTTCATTTTCAAATCCTTTAAATAAAATCATATTTTCCCGTATCCCTGCCCCGAGTCTACTAAAGGGGTTAAAAGTTGGTGGAATGAAACAGACTCGGGTCTTGTATATGAACTTTTACGGTACTGTTTTTAAAATTGACTCATTTAGAAATTGTGATAGGTTCAAGAGAGATATAGTTTATTGGTTTAGAAATAAAACTTTGTACCATCTACAGTAAACTCCGAACTGTCCGTTCTTATATGTAAAATTGGTCAAAAAGTTCAGTTCTCAAAGAGGTATTATATCACTAATCCGAACTTTATAATATGTTCTAGGGTTTTAAGTTCGGTTCTCAGAGAATTTAATTAAGAGGAGACTGTAATCACGAGATTGATTTTTAGATAAATTCTAGGATCGATGTTATACAAGTATTTATATAGCACTATTTACCATATAGTAAAAGGTAATAGAGATATACTATACTGCTAATTCGTGAAGTTTAACATCATTTTTCTTTATTATAAATAGTTAACTTGATTCTTTTTATTTATAAACCTTTGTAGACTGTTTCGAAAGTATATGTATTTTCTAAAAGATGGCTGATTCAATAGAAGTTGTTTTATACGTACAATAATATACTGTAGTTTTGAAAAAAATATTAATAAAGGGCGTGTAATTTGTTACCAGAACTTTTTTTTTTTAATAAAATTTTTAATTATAACTCGTGTGAACAGTTTTATAGTGATCTGACCCGGTGGATGTCACCCGAGTCACCCGCGGGTGGGTGGGTGACCCGGGCTAAGTTATGGCAACCCAGGTGAAAACGGGTGGGTCATCCCGCGGGTTGACCATAGTTTTGCAGTATATTAGCTTCCAAAGACAACTTTAATTTGTGATTTCGGCACATAAATTGATAAACTTGAATACAGAAATATGGTGTTTTCAAAACATCTCCGCTGGGTTAGTCAAGCACTTTTAACGATATGGATGTATAGTCGTACCCCCTAAGTAAGTGCATGGTATATGAAAAAACTCCTCTAAGCGCACACCCCCTTTTGATCCCACAATTATAAATTTTAACCCCTCTAAATGCACACCCTTTCTAAATGCATATTTTGTCTTTTTTTTTACTATGGTCCCGAGGGCGTGCACTTAAAGGGGTGAGACTGTATTGAAAATCTTTTATCACTTTATAACGACGTATTATTTTCGGGACATTAATCACCTGGGCTTGTTTTTTAATTAACCTGGGTGACCCGTCGGGTGATCCGGGTGGCAACTTTTTTTTAAACTGACCTGTTTCCAGGGTGGCATATTGTCCACCCGACGGGTGACACGGGTGAAGATTTTTTAGACAGGTCAATTCACTACCGTTTTGGGACACTTAAAGATCACTGAACACAGTGATCGACGATCACATGATAAACACATCATGACGTCATTTGTTTACCAGAACTAAACAAGCTGGCCTAAACTAACTCCTACCCTAACCCTAAATTAACCCTAACCTAGGCCGAGTGATTGTCATGTGATACTGTGATGATCACTGGGTTCAGTGTTCTTTAATCTTCCCGAAGTATTCATACTGTATGTTCCTATATGAGTATCCGGGTGCATGACATGAACTAGGGAATACCCCCGGGTACACATGTCGCAGAAATACGATGAAAAATATTTAACTAAAAATAAAGCCCTCTTTTTTCTAACCCTAAAAAAAATGGACCAAATTTTAAAAAACTTCATATTTACTATATACCACAATGATTATCTACGAAAGTGCATCACGTGGCTAAAATACAGTTTTGTGATTGATTGTTGAATAAAAAGTCTACGGGCAGTGCTTAGGGACAGTGCAAAACTACGTGATTGGTTAGTTAGCGGTTAGGGTAGATGGTTTTTATATAAAATCACGTGATTTGCACTGTCCCTATGTACTGTCCGTAGACTCTCCGTTGATTGAATACCTCATAGCAGATAATCAAACCCGTGCATTTACAAATTTATTTAATTGGTGTAAAATTTTTAAAGAAAACGATCTTCAATGGACTTTAACTCCGCCCATATGCAGCCCAGCCCAACATAAGAAAAAAAGAAAGCGAAAATATTAAAAAACTCAATGTGATAATCAATGTTTAAATCGACCTTGGTGCGCTAATTAAAATGACGGGAATGAAATTTTACATACAATAATGTGACTTATAGCCTTTAATACTAACGTCTAACCCTAAATTTCTATCTCGCACTTACCGTTTATTATGAATATTACTGAATAAAAGCAACCTCCCGAATATAAGTTACCTCCCGATTTTGGACCCAAAAATTTGGATGAGGTTATTATACTTCAATAAAATTAAACCAGAATAGAAGCAATCTCTTCACTTTAGTCTAAAAAAATGTGGTTTTTTCAACATTTTGGTTGCTTATATTCGGTTAAATACGGTATGTAGCGGTATAGTTTATTTACATTACAAAATTAAATTTCCTTTTTGGTTTGTGTCACTTGTGAAATAAGTAATTCATTTCTTACCGTTTGCTACACCAAGGTTCCATAAACCAAGAATCATGAGAAGCTTCTTTTAGACTATAACGCTACATACCGTGTGTGTGTTTCTACATAGAGTCTCCAAACTTATTGGTCAATGGTAGAAGTAAAATGACGGTTCTTTTTTTAATAGTAAAATTTGAATGGTATATATTTAAAAGATCAAAAAGTACAAGAAATTCACGAGAGCCAATTATCAGTAAGTAAGTCAAAATTTCAAATTATTACCAAATAAAATGTTAAGTGTGAACAAATATGGTTAAACGATAATTACTTTAGGAAAATTAAAAATAAGGCTTTCAATTTTAATTTTAATGAATTTCTAAGTTTAATTTTATTTTTTTACTATGTACTTACGTATTAAATGAAAAATATGATAAATGTTTTACGTAGAAATTAAATTTATTTTACATCATAGACAATTATTATTCAAAATTTTGATTCTCGAAGATCATAAAAAAATTATATTGATCCAAAGTTGGATGTATGTTTTAATATGACGCAGTTTATTCAGTAAAAGATTTTCCCCAATACTCGGATCTACGTTTATTCGTAACTAATTCTTGGATAATGCACCATCGAATCTTCTGTGTAAATCTAATCTTATAGGTAACTAAAATATGTGACAAATAGATTTGGCGCAACACAAAAATTTGCACAAGAATAAAAATAAAATCTTAACTTTTAACTAAATTCTTATATTTCTTTCTGAACGTTCAAATTTTTGTCAAGATTTTTTTTTTATAAATCCTGAAATAAATTGAATGAACCAATATTGAGTTATTTTAATGTCTTTAATTTTATTTCACATTGATGTTAATAATTTATAATCGCATTACTTTCCTTTTATTTACTTTCTTTTTTATCTTATCTTTAATAATATCGATACTCAGTCACTCGGTCATGTCCGTTTAGCATTGAACACGACTACATCTCAAAAAACTATCTTTTCACTTCAACCATTTCATCTTCTACACCAACTCAAATGATGACATTCGCTTATGGACCATTACCACCCTTAGAAACAATAATAATCATAGTCGTTATTTCAGTAATAACGTTAATAATAGGTGTCGTAGCAATAGGTATTACATTATCTATGTTTCGGCGACACAATGTAAAAAATTCAAATGCATTCGAAGCCACTACTATTGATATTGAACAACAACCGAGAGAAGATTTCGTAGAATCAGGATTTCTAGAGGAACCAAGTACATTGGAGTTGGAACAAGAAAATATTATAGTACCAAATCATGATTTAATTATTTTACAACATAAAAATCAAGCAAATAATAATAATTATAAATTACCGGAAAGAAGCAATTTTGACATTAATTTTGATGAAATTGGGGAGAATAGTAATGCTGTTTATTTAAAAAAAATAAAACTTTAGAAATCAAAAAAAAAGTATATATATAATCAATATGGATTTTATATATCGAAGTAGAAAGCATGTATATATGTAAAAACCAAAAATAGTTGTAGATTATACTCTTATGTCAAAGTACAGTATATCATCTAATCTTTAGCATTAATTTTTAACCTTCTAATTAACGTTAATACATCTTAAGTCTTACTTTATTAGTATATAAATTTGTTTTAAATAAAAACAATGTCAAATTTGCATAATGATTCATAATAATAATAATAATATAATATTAACTGCAATTTTCAGAGCCATTGTACTATATAGATCTTATCGTTATTACTGTATGTAAGTTCTCAATTAATGTTGGTTTTGAGTATTTCTGAAATATTTCACCTTAAATCAACCTGAAATGTTTTTATTACAAAAATTATCTCTGGATTTTTTATTACAAAAATTATCTCTGGATTTTTTTTTACAATATTTGCCAGGAAAAACATGGTAGATGCGAAAATCTACCGAAAAAAAAGATAATACTAACCTTCATTAGTTTGACCTATCGGAGGAATGAAATGAAGCGTACAAAAGCTTATGATAGAGGGAGATTAACAAATTTCGGAAACATAAATTTCTTCTATACGTATACAGTATAATTATTTAATAATGCGTTAATATCATGGCACAGTACACGAGTTTGTTAAAATATACGTTAATCTAGAAGGTACTATATTGTACATTATTTTAATAATATATTCAAGAATTCCTCAACAAAGAAAAAGAGTCTCAATATAATTTATTAAGTTATAAGTCGAATTTTAAGAACATTTATTGCGACACATGTAAAAGATAAGTTTAAAGATTTGATCACCACGAAATATAATCTTCAATCAATTCGATTAAAAATCATACTGTTGAGTTATTCAGATAAGGCCATACTAACTTAATGATTCTGTTTTCATAACCCGGCCGGGTCAAACCTTACAAATTTTTTAAAAAAATTTTATGTATATTTACTATCCGGGTGAGTTTTTTAAAAAAATCTATAAAAAATTTTATATGTTATTTATATATAAAATTTTTTGAAAATAAAATTAAAAGCCAGGTTGCCGGGTCACTTTTGAAAATTTTATGAAAACCGAATTATTAAGTTTGTATGGCCTAACATATTTCATTCGGTTTCATACTAATTATATTTTAAGTATGTGCATATACAGTAACGACCAGGATCATCCAGCTCGTCAGAATATAAAGTGTGATGTTAAGGCGCGTGTAATCCGCGATTTCACACATGATTTCCAAATATTCGGATCAGAGCTGGGCTGGGAGCACAGAATTTTTGAGCTCGTTTTGGCTCGAGTCATGCCCTTCTTATTGTGCTCGGGGCATGCCTCATCGCTATATATAAAAGCGTAGCATATTTTCCTTGTGATTAACTAATTTTTGAAAATATTAGATAATTATGCAGCCGATATGTGGGTTATTTCAAAACTTTTATCTCTTATATTAAAAATGATTATCTTTTTTACGCATTGTTTTAATGCTAAATATTAAATACGGATAATGAGGTACATATTCAATTACCTAAATTAAATACATATATGTATAATAAAAATAAGTAAAGGATGATTTTAACACTCACTGGAGGTGAAATTCACTGGGTATGCTGTTTCTAATAAACGGCTCTAATAATTAATGTTCGATAAAAAAATGGTCAGCACCCTAAAAAACCTAACCTCTAACTATAATATAAGCCTTAATTCTATTTAATCTTAGCTTTAAATTAGAGGTAAATTTTTTCGATTGGCATATAACATGAATAATTAAAAATTATATATATTGAAATATAAAAATTTCGTAAGTTCTGATTGGTGATGAAGTTAATAATTTTTAGGGTTAGGGTGCAGTTTTAGAATAAAAGAGGAGTTTATATAACATATAACGTAGATCAGATATAAGGTCCCCGAATTCAGTTCACGTGAGGTTTTCAGGGTCCTGAACATTTTTACTTAGACTCCCTGACTTTAATTAGTACGTTTTTGAGATATAGCACCCCGGTAGGGTTGCGACTCAAACTTACTAGTTTGGGGATTTGGTGAATCCCAAATAGTACTGTAGTATTTACTAGGTTTCGCAAAATGCCTCTAATTTGCCGTAATGTCAAACACTTCTGACTATAAATTATATTACGGCTAAAAATCCCAGATTTTTTACATGTGAAATTAGGTTTGGGACTCATCCCAAACAAAGAGGTCGTTTGAAGTCCAGCACCTTAATTTTAGGTAGCGCACCCACAAAAATTTTCCCCTCCCGTGATTTATAAAACCGCGTTATAATTAGGGTTAGAGCGAGAACAGTGTAAGGTTAGGGTTAGAGTTAGGGTTATTGCTATTAGTAAAATTTCACAAGGAACATTTTTAATTAGGCCGCAGAAGGTGGTTTCTTAATTAAAATTTCGAGTTATTTCAGTTTATTTGTAAAAAATGGTTTCGCTTCATTTGTTTACGTTACACCTGATCTTGAAATTTGATTGGCCAAAATTTACGGGTGGAGGAAATTTTTGTGGGTGCGCTAGGGTTCAGGGGAGACCATCCCCAAATTAGGTAAAAATTCCAATATGGTTACACAAGGATAAAAATTTTTTTATAGGTTTTATGACACTTTTTTACATTTTTAGAGGCTTTGAGTAATCTATTTATTCTATTAAACGTGGCAAATCAAACTAAGTGAACTTGAAGCTTTTACACTATATTTTAACAAACTTAGTTAATTCAAGTTGATTCAGTTGATCTTACTTTAATTTATTTACATCAAATATGTTTGAAATTAAGAAGTATATGGAATGTAAAACTACTAAATCTTGTTAATTTCATTTACTAGCAGGAAAAAAATAGGAAGAAGCCAAAACTAATAGTTTAATCAAAAAAGCTTGGGTAAAAGATAACAAATTATGCTATAACTGTTATATGAATTTTGTAGAGAATCAATTGAGAAAAGCCAAATAGGTAAAAGTTTTGACTAAAGTTAAAGAAGTTGAAAAAAAATATTAAAGATATAATAAGAAACAAATTAAAATTAAAATTAAAGAAAGTGTAGAATTAAAAGATATAGAAATATAATAAAAGAGGATATAGAAATTATAGACAAAGAAGAGATAAGTATAATTAATTTTGTTGAAGTTGTTAAATCTATAGTATGAATTTTTTATGAGAGAAAACATATACAGAAAGAAAGTTCTATATATTTGTTTGATGAAATGTAAAAATTACTTCTACAAATTAACCCAAGCTTGAAGAACTTTTTCGATCAACTTTATTCATTAGCTTAGCTATTTGAATGTTGCAAGCAGACAATGTTGATGTATAAAAAGATTAATGTTTTTTTATATTACCTTTTTGTATTATTAAATAATTCAAAAATTAATTTATTTAAGTTTGATTTAGTATATTATTTAGATTTTGTAAGTACAAGCAACAAGAGTCTAAATACATTAGCTAATATTAGTATAACTACAACTGCAAGAGCAGTAGATTATAAAAAAAAAAATTTTGAAGACTTATAAAGAATATATAGAGAAGACTCTTAAGAATTGTTCTGAAAATTTTTTCATATTGTTATATTAGCAGTATATTAGTATTTTTAAATTTTTATTAAGTAACTCTGTGTAACTTCTAATTGTAGTACAAATC